TCACATTGAATTTTAAAATATGTATAAATTATTTTTCGAATAGAATAAGTACTTTGCAAATGAAAGATTTCGATTAAGTAGTGTTATAACAATAGGAATGAGATCAAAAGTAATTTGGAAAAGCTAATGTGCTGCACTATCTTAGTGAAGTTAGTTTTTAGTAAAATAATTACATGTAATCCAAACTAATTCACAAATTAATTTGTCTTGGTTCCCCTAAAAAATGTACGAATTCATATAAAAACTGTACAGTCGATTGAGAAAAATTGAAGAAAAATATAGAATGGTGCTGGAGGATTTTGTCGGTTTTGTACTTTGGATAAACAATACCCGTTTACACGTTCTCTCCACTAAAATCTGTTTTCTGGTTCAGCCCCTAATCCCTTTCTCTCTCCTATAAATAGTCACATTGATCATTATTAATTTCCACACATCATTTTCTTGATGATCTTCTAGCTCAAGCACACACTCTCTCACGGTCTCACCTAGCTAGGGTTTCTCCCATCATTAATCACTAGTTCTTTCGTTTTCTTTCTTATAAACATATAAATATATGGCTCGTTCTGCTTACCATACAACGTTGGTACTATTAATGTACTTGTTCTTGATTTTCTTCCCTCGTGTTAGCAAAGCTCGGATTCTCGCTGATTCCCATCATGAAGCATTCCATCAAGCTTCAGATCATCATAAAAACAAACCTAGTATTATTCCTCCTTCAGGTTCCATGCATGGGAATATATGGAGCCCCGATAGCCAAACCCTTTTGAATAAAAAGGGTTTTAGTCCATCCCAACTGGAGTACTTCTATTCAAGAAGGTCTCTTGATCCCGACATCGATCGAGCTGCTCCTAGCGGTCCAGATCCTCATCATCATTAGCAAGTACTGTTTCTGCGGGGTTTCCGAATCGGAATTGTTTCTTTTTTGATTTTTCTGAAGTTATGATACTGCTTTTTGTAAGGCGTGGGAAAAAAGAATGGTTGAATTCTTTTTGGTACGTGTTAAGAGAATTCAATGGGATTTTTTTTTTTCTGAGGATCAGTAACACTCAATCTGGTTTTAGCTGAATAAGCTGAAGTCAGTTGAGGGAGAGACTAGAGAATTTTATTTTTTGAAATGAAATTGGCAATGATCAATGTTGCCCGATGAAAGATTTTGTTGTTGCCTAATAAAAGTTTTAGTTTGATCTTCCATCACTTCTGTATATGTACATTTTTTTATTTTTTTTTTTTGCAACTGAAATTAAGGTTTTCACAAACTGGAAGTTTGAAATGATCTTTTTTATTCACCCAATTGGTTGATGAAGAAACATTTTAGAGCGTTCATTTACTTCTTGTTTTATTTTTATTATTTTTTTTAAATCAACTTATTATTCTAGTATGGCATCCCAATCAAAATAAAGACCGATATATGTTACCCCTTCCAATCCATATTAGTAGTTGAATTAGCTAAATTATATAAATTATTCAAGAGAGTGAACTATTAACACGTAACAGAGTGAATAGTTTTATCCATGTGATATCCATGTGAATCACAATTTCTCCATCAAGGTTTTATTTGAGTTGGTACACACATTTACTTAGTAAACGCCGCGAGACGATAGACATTTTACCGTCTCTTAATTTCTTAACAATAATTTATATGAGACGATGAAAAGTAATTAAATTATTTCTTATAGTAGTGGTATGCTGTGGCGCAACATGAAGAAACAAGTTGATTTGATTCAACTTACAAGTGACTACAAAAAGGAAACTGCATGTCTAAATTCAACTCATCGTTTAATCTAAACTCAAACGAATGCATGCATACAGATCATGGATGACTCCATTTAGCTCAAAATAAAATTTAGTCAAGCTGTCAATTCTCACACGTGCAGATCCAACATTTTTAACTGGGGGACAAAATGATACTTTCCCATGTTTCATTCAACACACAAGTAAAAGGAAAGTTATACACTTACACTACTTGCATGAATTGCAAGATAAGGAAAGTTATACACTTACACTACTTGCATGAATTGCAAGATATAGATCGATGAACCAACTGAATGTGGATTAAAATCAACAAGTTGACCATATTATATCTTGATAGACCCCCTCGATCAAGTGTCTACATGTTTCATCTATGGTCTTCCTTTGAATTTGTTTAAATTAATGGTCTCATCAATATCCGCCCTGAATAAAATTTTAATTTCCTCACTTCACAAAGATAGGAGAGTGTATTTATACACGATCTTATCCTTACTTTACGCAAAAAGACTGTTTCTCGTTTGAATCTTCGTCCAACTAGTAACTACAAAGCAGCAACCTCACGATTATACAGTATTGATTCGCAATTCCAGAAAATGTAGCACTTACAGACATTTTGAAGGTGACATTTGATAGAAAATCGTTAGCATTGGCTAGGCTAATTTGCTTTGCCCCGATAAGGGCTCGAGTAAATTCGTTAATTAACGTGATTTAGCAGTTATCATTGCAAAATGTGAGCACAACATGTGGTTAAACCACAAATAATCAATGATGAGTAACTAAACGTAGTGCGTGCTTAAGTTTTCCATAGTTTGACTACGTTCGTTTGCTTAATTATAATCTTGTAGACTCAAAGCAAACTGGATAAGGTTTCAACTTTGAAGCATTTAAAATTTCAACCAATTAATAGGTACCCTTTTTGGGAGATAAAGCACAAAACGAATAAGCCTACCGCTATCTATATTACTATATTAATCACTTGACCGTCACATCAAAGGGTGGGGGGTGGACAGCCAAAGTATGTTAGTTTTATACAATTCCGGCTGAAAGATTGCTTCTAAAGAGAAAATGATAAGTGGATTCAGATTTTAAGTTTGCATGCGACTTCTAATATATGTAGCCTTCATATAGTTTATTATGATTCTTGCCCTTTGGTAGGGGCCAAAGGATGAACAAAATTGATTTAGGTTGGTGGATCGACTTATAGCCGTTACACCAAAACAAAAATATAAAACCATGAACGAAATGATGATTAGGGTTGGTATGTCCAGTTCAATTCTTACATATTTGAGATCTCAATTTGAAGAAATATGGGCAATAATCAGGTAGGTATTTTATCAAGCTTTGTAGCTATGCATTTTCCGCTCTCCTCTCCAACATCAAGTAAACATAGTGTTGAAATCATGAGTAGATTAATTGTCCCACATCGGTATTTAGAAGTAATAGAGAATACTTAATAAATAAATTGGTCCCTTTTAGGTTGATATGAGTTTCTACTTATATATCCGGTTCGATATTAGAACTCTCTGGATCTAATTTTCCCGGTCGAAATTCCTAATAAATGATATCAGAGCCGAAGGTTGGTTGGCGTTAGAGGACTATCGGAACCTGGGTATTCCGAAAGTTGTCTCATGTCCGACTTACTTTGAATTTTTTTATTTTTTGCATATTTGCAGGGTGTCCATCGTCGGCAACAGTGATTCGTAGAGGAGTCCCTTCCACCCCACCACAACCATTTTTGTTACTCATTTTGAAGTTTTAGATTGAGGTGACTTATTTATTTCTTGGACTCGATATTAGTTCTTTTTGGACCTTATCTTTTTGGGCCAGTAATATCGGACACCTAATTTAATTTAATTAGTGTCTTTAAGATACTACAAGATTTGATGCATGTACGAGAAATAACTAGGAGAATGTACGTTCCGGAACATCGTTTAGTCATACTGTTTGCCTTATACAACTAGCTCGATATAAAAATAAAATAATGTTTTTGCTAAAACCTGTTATCGTGAAATGGATTTTCCATAAATGTATCTTCTGGTTATTAATCTCCTCTAACCTTTTTCTTTCAATAAGTACTTTTCTGTTCCAACGAAAATAATTCAATTTATTATGTTATTATTATTTATTATTATTATTTTGCATATTACAGGATTTCCACTATCGGAAACAGTAATTTTATTATATTATTATTTTAATTCAACCAAGTAAACTATTTTTTAAAGGATGATAAGAATACTACTAGGGTTTGGATTTTACTTCAAAAATTTCAAAAGTGAATACCGTGTAAAGTGAATTACAAAATGAGATGAAATCGGTGAATGACTATATCATTATTCATCTGATAAAATAAATACTGATAAAGGTTTCAAAACTTGATGAATATTGAGAAGACTTGCACGAGTTTAGAGAAGATCGATTCTGTGTGCGCATAGTTGTGATGCGTTTTATTATATGTACGTACTAATTTTATCACACAAGCTAGTCAACGTAGACGATCAAGCCTCAATTTGCTTAGTTAATTAAGCTTTTTCGAGCCCAAAGATGATCAAGCCTCCTATAAATAATCATCAAGTAAGTGTGCCAGATGTGATTGCTAGATAAGTTATTGTTATGGATGTAAAATGCTCTCGTCATGTAAACTTCTAATTGTTTTACTTTCATACAATTGAAATTTCCAAAAAGAAAGAAAAATAAAAAGAAAAAACAATAATCATCAAGTTGATTTTTTTTTTTTTTTTTTGGTTCTTATCGATAAGGAGCATATATAAACATTATCAATTCCAAATGAATTGATTTGGAAAATTTGTATATACTATTAGAAAATACTCACCTGATTTCTGTGTTTCGAAATGATTGTTTCACTTGGAATTGTATTCAAGAAGATAAAAAATATAAGTATGAAAATTATTTTTAAGACAGAAAGACCGTTATTTTAGTTTAACAATGTAAAAGAATTCACTGTTTATTTACTGCTTATTGACTTTTTTGCGTTTTACCCCTAAATAAAAACAAAACATAACAATAATTGATAATGGGCTGTCGGCCCAGCCCACAGATATTATTACTATTCATAGTAAGTGGCAAGTGGCAACCAACCAGGATAGGACCACCCAGCGTAAAAGGCCCCCACAAAACCTCACGTGCCAATGACGCGCCACCATGTTCGGGTTGGACAAATCACAGAGTACTCAGACTCCACCCAGCATAATCAAATCTGGTCCGTCAAACTAAATCCATCTTATCGCGATCACAAAATCCTAGCCCTACGATATGCACGTTCATCTCACGCATCTTCGAACGAGTGAACTTTCTCATCCACTCTTCCCAGTTCTGCAAGTCCCTCATTCATTCTTTGTTCTGTTCTTGCTCACTTCTCGACTTTCAATGATTCTTCATCCCACAATTGACTATCAGTTGGAGAAAGAGGTTGGGGGAAAACGGAAGAGAAACTGTGTGACTGTGTTTGAATTTAGAAGAGGAAGAGAAGATTTAGAAGAACTCCAGAAAGGTATGATTTTTAAGAACTCTGTATGAACTTTGATCTCGAAAGTTCCTTTTCTACTGTCTTTTGTTGCAATTAATAATTCAATTATGGGTTTCAAGTGTTTTTAGACCAATATAACTATGATACTTTATCAATTGTTTGTGTTTATGGAAGTAATTTGTATGGTTTACTATGTATTAAGGCAATCCCAAAAGCAAAATTGTGGTTCTGTTTTAAAATCTAGGGTTTGATTGTTCTTAATAAGTGTTTCATTTGCATACATGTGACTTGGAGGTGAATTTAGAGCTCAAAAAAGTTTTTCTTTCTGTGATTCTAAGCTGAGTGTTGGTGTTAGTGCTGATATGTGTGTGTGTGTGTGTTTCTGTTTGTTGGCCTGGGTTAATCTTGAGTTCAGTTGCGGTTTTGCTGATAAAGATTGAATCTTTAGAGTTTGGTGTTGCATAAATGGCTTCTGGCACAACGGTTGGTGGTGGTAGTGAAGAGAATGAAGGTTCTAAAGATAAGCAGAAGTGGGGAGAACCTGCCTTTGGTGCAGTATCTGGTGATTCGTCGAGTCAGAATCGAGTGTTTGCTGGGAATTTGACGGGTAGAGGAGGGTTTCTGAGTCCTGAGACAAAGGTGACAATCAGTTTGTCAAAGAAATCAAAGGGGGAGGCACGGAACCTGAAGAGAAGGCTGCAGAGTGAGTTGGATGAGATCCGGAGTTTGGTACAAAAAATAGAAGGGATAGAAGGCAGAAAAACTGGTAATGCAGGTCGCTATGTTGACAATGGTGGTAAGTTGAAACGTGGTCAGTCAGATAAAGACAAACGGATGCCTAAGGCAAACAAATACTATAAGAACGCAGATTTTGTGCTTGCAAAGGATAAGTTTCCGCCAGCGGAAAGCAACAAGAAGTCAAAACCAAATGCTGGTAAGAAGGGTGGAGGGAATGAATTAGGACATGGGTCTGGTTTTGTAAAATTTTCAAGCCAGATGTTGAAGAGCTGTAGTTCAGTACTTGATAGATTGATGAAGCACAAACACGGGTGGGTGTTCAACAAACCTGTTGATGCTGTTGCTCTTGGTTTGCATGATTACTTTGACGTTATCAAAAGTCCAATGGATCTGGGTACTGTTAAATCTCGGCTAAGCAAAAATTGGTACAAATCTCCCAAAGACTTTGCGGAAGATGTTAGACTTACATTTCACAATGCTATGACGTATAATCCTAAAGGGCAAGATGTTTATTTGATGGCAGAGGAGCTATCCCAGATATTCGAGGACAAATGGGCTGCTATAGAAACTGATTATATGCGGGAGATGCTTCGGAAGGATAATGAAGCTGGATTACCCACTCCTAAATCCAAGAAGGCTACTACAAAGCAGATGCCACCTTCAGATATTAGCGCTATAGGAAGGTCGGAATCAACCACCCATCTCAGTGACTCCAAAACTAAACCCATGAGTTCAGGTCATTCAGCCAGGGTGGCTACCACTAAGAAGCCAAAGGCAAAAGACCCCGATAAAAGGGATATGACATATGATGAAAAGCAAAAACTTAGCAAAAATCTGCAGAGCTTACCTTCTGAAAAGCTTGAAAATGTTGTCCAGATTATCAGAAAGAGGAATCCTTCTTTGTGCCAAAATGATGATGAAATTGAAGTAGACATTGATAGCGTAGATACTGAAACTCTTTGGGAGCTGGATCGGTTTGTGACCAATTATAAGAAGAGCGTAAGCAAGAACAAAAGAAAAGCTGACCTTGCCAATCAATCAAAGCAAGAATCTGTGCAGAATGTTCAAGAAAAGGTATCCCTTTAATGAAACTCCTTTTTCAAATTTTCTCCCTTTTCTTTTTTTCTTTTCCTTCATTCCCTTGCTGCTGGTTAGCTTTTGTTAATTCATTTCATTTGCTTGTTCCAAAAGGCACTTTCCCCAGTTGCATTAGAAAGTCAAAAGGCGAGTCAGATAGGTAAGCGATCCAACATTCAATATCTGTTCCTCTTGAATTTATGAAAAACTTGATGATTATACATGGTTAATCAGCACTTTTCTTTTGTGCAGAAGGTGAGGACATTTCTTCATCTTATGCAGAGGTAAAACACAGGGCTGGTCATGGAAGTGGATCAAGTAAATCTAGTGGTTCGAATGCCAACTCAGGTTCTTTTTCAGGCAGTGTTGTTCTTTTTACATTTTTTTAAGCATGCGCTGACAAAGCCTTATTCTATTTTTGTCTTGTATGTACAGGTTCGGACAGCGGAAGTTCCTCAGATGATGGATCTGATGCATGACAGTTGATTAGGAATCCAGGTAGGATAGGTTTACTCTCCTGATTGTCATTATTGCTATCAACTAATAATATACTTTCTGTTCATGCCTTTGATTTGAAGTCACTATATAGATTTCCTTAACTGCTGGACTTGTTCATTGTCATTTATTTTGTTGTTCATGATATTTATATTTTTTTATTTCATATCTCTTTGGATGTGCATATACTTGTGAGGATTTATTTGCTGTCTGGAGAACTGACTTTTTCCTTCTTAAGAGAAATATTAATTTGTAAAGCTTTTCATGTCTGCAGTTATGACTTGCTAGTATCTAAACCGCCCAATCTGTCAATTAGTTATCTAAAGCTTTTCATGTCTTGCTATTCTTGTCTCTCAAGATTTGTCTGCTTGTGCATGTTTTCTAACTTCAACGTAGAATGCATTTTTTAACCTTCTTCGAAGTGGAAATTTCTCTTCGAAACAGTTTAGAAAGCCTGCAGTTTTCTATCATATCCTTGAGTCTATCGTCACAACTCAGTGGAGAAATTGGTAGGTGATCATTACCATTCTGTGTGAAAATAAATTCCACGTCTGACATATGGACTTAAGATCACGCTTATTTACTAACATGTCACATGTAGAGCCTATCATATCAAATATTTTCCTCTCTTTATTTCTTCTCGAGACTTTCAGCCGTTTCTCCTTTCTCTGTGTACTTACCGCAATCTCTCAGAGCTTTGAGTTGGTGACATGCTCCCCCTTTTTTATTTGTAACTTTTTAATATAATATATGCCTGCTCCTATTGTTCTTTTTTATAGGGATGAGTGTTGTCTGATCACCGTGCTTCTTACATTTCAGATTCCACGCATTTGAATAATGGTATGTGCCTCTTAAATTGCTTTGGTGGAAGTTTGGCTGCTTGATAGTGTTGAACCGGTGGTGGTTCCTCCGTACAGTGGGAGTGGTTTGTTGAAGCAACAGTGGCAGTGTTCGTTCCTAGCTGACCTGGGGAATGTAGAATCTCACTTTGTTGTAACTGGCTGTAGCTTTTGTGTATATATCCCTAACAACAGCTAGGCAGTGTTAAATTATTCTGTAGCGGGTTCTCTAGCAGCCTAGATTGATTTCCCTCAAGTCATTTGCAAATTGTATGTATGTAGTATGATATCCTAGTGGTGACTGGTGAGAAGTCAGAATTGTGCTTTTGGGTCCTCATGTAAAATAGTATATTCGAAGGCATTCTTGTTGTAAATCTTGATTCTCGCCTAGGATATTCTAATTTACTGAAGCTTAAATTCAACTGATTCTAGTCAGAACTTCGAAATTCCCCAGAATAATAAGCAATCAAACGTTCTTTCAGTCCTATTTAAAGGAGTTCTGGGATTCCAAAGTACAGAGCTTTGATCGTTTTTTTGGTCTGTATTCCTCATTATGACGGAAATCTCCCCTTTTGCTTCTGGGACAAAATTAACTCGTGTGTGACCTTGAGTTTAATCCGCTTGTTTTCAATACAGGCCACCCAAGCTATCCGTTTTCAACTTTCCATCATCGTTTCAATGAAATGCCTAAACTCAGTTTCAATTTTCAAAGCGAAGTTAACTACTTCTCTAAGGTCCACCTTTTGTACCAAATATTTTCCCGCAATTCAAACGCCCTTCAATATAAACAACCATTTTTCTTCTACTGCCTTGAGAATCTCCGCGAGAGGAACAAATTCATCACAAACGGAAACTGAACAGGTTGTATGCTGGTCTGGACTTGAAAGTTGGAGAACTGGACCGCTCAATCACAACCGATTCTGGGGTCCCAATGGGCCAGAATCACCATCGCTACAGCCTTCTAGTTCATTTGATTTGGGGTCTTGTTCTTCTTTAGCTGAAATGGGAGCTATTGTGCTTTCTACTGCTGACCCATTGGAAAAATCGAAACTTTCTCATATGGCATACACCCGGTGGAGCCAAGAGGGCCTTCCGATCGGAGTTCATGAAGCGCCATCTCGGCCTGCTCGTCCAGAAAAGCCTCAGCTGGTATGTTCCTCCATTCTTTTAGTTATTTTGGTTTACAGGTGCGTTAATAGCTTCATTTTCTGTTGCCATTGCAACTGGCCTTAAATTTGAATCATAATGATGTGGATGGTTGTATTGCTTGTTTGGTCTAATCTTTGTATGGATGAAGGTAGGATCAGTTGCCATGTAAGTTTCTGCATGCGCCTAATGTGTTTGTAATTTTGCATAATAGAGATTTTGTGTGGTGCAGAAATTTCGAAAAATGATTTTCTTTAGATTTCCTTTGGCGTAAAAGAATTGGCTATTTGGAGTCACACTTCAATGAGTAGAAACCTGCCTTCTTTTGAAATTAGATATTGGCAACTCGGATGCGCTGCTCTTGCATTAAACTCTTTTGCAGTTCTATTTGAGGAATTTGAAATAAATATTCGGCATATGTAGCTTTTAGGTTGAGTTATTTACATAATCTTACTGTTGAACGGAATCCCTCCTTAATTCAGGTATCGCCAAAGGATATTCCATCGCCTAAACACTCTGATCTGCCTCTTAATGCCTATCTTCTTCATAATCTTGCTCATGTTGAGCTGAATGCCATTGATTTAGCCTGGGATACTGTTGTTCGATTTTCCCCTTATTCTGAGCTCCTTGGAGAAGGATTTTTTGGTGATTTTGCTCATGTGGCTGATGATGAGAGTCGCCATTTTGCTTGGTGTTTACAAAGATTAGCAGAGCTTGGGTTCAGGTTAAACTTCTCCTCATGGCTTTCTTATGTCTGTCAAGTGTGTGTGAGACTGTGAGTGTGATTGCGTGAGGTTGTCTGTGCCTGCTTTTATATTTAACTGGAAGTTCCATTTCCATCTTTTCTCCCCTAAGCAGCTACGGTGACATGCCAGCTCATAATCTGCTCTGGAGGGAGTGTAACAAAACATCTGATAATGTCGCTGCTCGTTTGGCTGCAATTCCTTTAGTTCAGGTACTTGGTTCAGTCATTGTTTTGCCTTTTTATTCTCAAATCTAGTTACAGAAAATTCATTTTGTGAGGTTATTTTCTTGCATCCACTGTAAGGCATAGCATAAAAGGCTCCAGTTTGCTGAAAGCTAGAAATTGTGACTCATCGTTATGTTGAAAGTTGATGAGACTGCTCAAGGCATGACTTACATTTTACATGAAATCCAGTTTTTGTATGTATGGCTACCAGAAAAGGTAGTTAATGCATGTCTGTTTGATTGTTTTCCATAGTCCAAATAGAGCACAGCAGCTAAGAAGAAAACCAATATATCAGAGAGCGAAGTCATATTCTAGACCCTGGTCTGGAGGAGGGGTGTTGTTGAGAACTGTAGCTGGACCTCTATAACGTTCACTGTCGAGAATCAGGCCAATTAGATGTGCGGCCAATTCAGCGAGGTGCCTACAATTCAGCGAGAGGATTAGTCATTGTTGTTGACAGTAGACACCCTGCAAATATGCAAAATTAAATAAATAAATGAAAAATAAGAAATGTGCGGTCAATAGTTTTATTCAGTTTCTTAAACTTCCTTTAGGGCAGAAATCTTCATGTTTGTTTGCTATTAGGATTTGAAAGAGACTGACTGTTTCCTTTGTGGGTCTTTTTTTAGGAGGCCAGAGGACTCGATGCCGGGCCACGTCTTGTGCAAAAATTGGTTGGATTTGGTGATCTTAGAACTTCTAAGATTGTGGCTAAGATTGCTGATGAAGAACTTGCGCACGTAGCTGTTGGTCTCTATTGGTTTCTTTCAGTTTGCCAGAAGATGGGCCGTGCACCTTGCTCTGCTTTTAAAGGTTAACTCTCTCTGTTTTTAAAGGTTAATAACCACTATGAATACGATGTGCACTTAGTCTTGGCATCCATTTTATTAAAACTTGCACTTCACTTCATTTGCAGATTTGTTAAGAGAATACAATGTGGAGTTGAAGGGGCCCTTCAATTATTCGGCTAGAGATGAAGCTGGAATTCCTAGAGACTGGTAAGCACAGAAAAGAATTTGGATTTTTGACCAAACTTAAGGAACTAGGATCTAAGGCATTCTTTGTAGGTATGATCCTTCATTTTCAAGTCAAAATGATAAGAACCGCGGGCTTTCCCAGGTAATCAAGTTTTAATTTTGCTACTCATTAAGTTTAGATCAGTTCAGTACATTTCATGAAAGGGAGTTTTCGAAGACCTGTTGAGGTTTGACAGGAACCTTCAACATTGAAATACATTTGCAGGTTTACGACAGGCTAACATGCATAATCTCCATGGAAGAACAGAACTCCAAGATGGGTGGACCTCACAGATGATCATCAATCAACACACGATTGAGACAGGCAAATCTGTCCGTTGTTAGCTCATTACATGGAATAAGGCTTGTACTGTGAAGTGTAAATATTCCTGAAATGATTACACTAATTCGGTTCGGTCATCAGTTTTGTAATGATGACAACCGAATCTGCCAGCACTCCAGTTACTATTTCAGTCATTTGTTAATATATATTGCCTCCGTTTCCTTTTTTGATTGGTGGGTTCCTTCTATCCTTCATTTTTTAATTCTAAAAATACGTTTATGAAATGATACGTTAGCTGGCATGTTTATTTTGTCAAAGAATCATATTCTTTAGCAAAAGAGCAAAGAAACTGTTGCACCAGATGTCAAAATAGCTTACGGCACAAGGTAAAACACCTCATAGTCCACCATGTTTATTATTCCACGTTGCAGGAAATAGGGAATAGTCTAATCCCTTTCACAGCCATATCCCTACCAAATCTCTGGAACACAGGAGAAAGAAATTACAGTTTAAAATAAAGGATTCTTGCAGAGAGGAAGCAAAGCAAAGCCCATATTCGTCTGCTTCGAACATTCGAGCTCCAGGTGATCAAGAGAGACATCAGAGATGTGTTGTGGGGATGGAGACTGCCGGCCACTGGCCTTCTTGATAGCTCTACCTTTTGCTTTTCTTTCTCTAATCGTTTCCATTGTGGGCATCATCGTCTGGGTTGTCGGGTAAATAAACCTTTTTTTTTCCCTTCCTTTTCATTGTACCTTTTTGCTTCTTGATCGGAGAATTTGCATTGGTTTTTCATACTTGTTTTTTTTTTTTTCTTTTCCCTGTTCTCCTCTCCCTCTGTTTCTGATTGCAGCATATCTATAAGTATCATATGCCCATGTTGCATCTGCGTGACGCTCTTGGTGGAATTCGCACTGGAGTTGATCAAAGCGCCTCTTCATGTTATGGAGTGGTTCGCCTCTCTCATACCCTGCTAAGATTTGATCCCTGTTCATTCCCCTTCCGGATTATTCCCCCCAGATTTTTCAGCCAGTTTTGTGTATTACTTGTATAATATCTCCTTCTACAGAATTAGACAATATTAGCTTGAAAGTTTGTAAAGCAAAACCCTTTTTTATTCTAGTCCTGAACATAATGTGAATTTTTGTGAATTGGTCTCAAGAACAGAAAAAAGCTAGACATGGCATTATCATTTATCAACATCATTTTTTAGGTTTATTGTACTTGAAACATTATGCAACAGCAGAAAGGAAAATGGAAAAGTTCTAGGACAACTCAAAACAACCGGAGACTGTTGCTATGTGTCCATTCGCAGCATTAACAAAAAGCAAAACAACCTAAAACACGTGAAAGACGAAATGGAACTTCTTCACTAAGATGCCTGATGAGATGGAACTTTCTGCTCTTCTTCAGTTGTCTCTTCTTCTTTATACGATTGAGGTTGCCCAGGAACTGGAAGACCCTGACCAACAAGAAGATCCTTTGCAGTCTGTCCAATTTCCACTATAGTTTCGCCGATCGCGTGGAGCACGCCGCCCCCTGTTGTTTCCTTGATTTGTTCTTCCTGCTGCCCTTGTTCCTGTCCTGATTCTTCCTGGAAGTACTCCCCAACTTTTCCTGTTGGCATGGTTCCTCGGCCCCCTTCCTCGCCGAGTCTCTCTTCCTTTCTGACGAATCCACCTTCCTAAAACCATGCAACAATAGAAAACCATCAACAAAACTAGCTAAATTAGACAGTAAGAGACAATGGCAGGAATCCCCTGAATCGATTCTACTACCATGCAGGATGCACAAAACATAAGAAAAAAGTTGCATAGAAGTTTACTTGTGCTGGAGGAGTTTTTTTCTTCTGTTCTAGATCTCTCTGTGCCTCTGCCTTCTTCCTTGCAGCATATTCCGCAGCACTTTCTTCAGTAGAAACGACAACGTCCTTTGCAGCGGCCAATTTACTCTCAGTAAATCCAGCTACCGTTTGCCCGGCTCCAGCCAATTTATCCTTAGCTGCCACCGCCACTCCCGCCACCGCTTTAGTAGCCTGCGCGGCCTTCTCCGCCGTGAAGTGTGCCGCTTCCCATCCTGCAACTGCGGCGTAATCCACGGCTTCCCCTGCAACCTTGGCAGTTTTTTCTCCGATATAACCTGCCGCCTTAATACTAACATCCACTGTGGTGTCCTTCGCCTGGGCGGCCTTATCCACCGTGTAACCCGTCGCCTGTTTCGCTGTCTCCATTCCCATTTGACCTGTTTCCACCACGGTATCTTTCAAAGCTTTGGCCTTTTCAGAAGCCACTTGGGTTCCACTTTGAACCCCATGAACAACAGAATCCTTGGCTTGCCCTGTTTTCTCTGCAGCAAATTGAGTTCCAGATTGAACTCCCTGCACAATCGTATCCTTTGCCTGCCCTGTTTTCTCTGAAGCAATCTGACTTCCACTCCGTAATTTTTCCGCAGCATAATCCTTTGCTTGGCCGGCTCTCTCAGCGCCCATTTGGGTTCCAGTCTGAACTCCTTGCATAACATAGTCCTTTGCTTGCCCTGTTTTCTGAGCAGCCATTTGGGTTCCACTCTGAACTTGTCCTTTCGTCTTCTCAGCAGCCGATTGAGCCGTAGATTGAGCAGATTCTTTAACTTTCCCCGCGTTCTCAGCTGCAGCGTCTTTAGCCCTTTGTGACCTTTCTTCCGCAGCCCTGATTGCCTCCACGGACTTCTGTTGCGCTTGTTGTCTGTACCTGGTTAATTCCTCCAACGAAGCACCTTCCTGAGGTTTTCCCATTGCTTCCTCTGCCTTATTCTTCCTTGCTTCTTCATGAGCCCCTTTTATCTGATCTTTCACCTTTCCAACTTCACCTTCCCTCTGTTCCTGACTTTGTGCGCCAGTGTCGAATCCAACCCCTTCAACCTTGCGAGAAATTGACACAAATTGGTGAGGTTTTTCTTCATCTGGGCGTTGGGTAACTAGGGACTCAAAATGGGTTGTCAATTTGGGGACTTTATCTTTCTCCACATCAACTGCACGCTCATCAGTGCCCTTGATATCTCTCCTCAATTGCTCTGAAGCCATTCTAACTTCTTCTTTTTTAAAAAAAAAAAAAACCAAAAAGATGGTAAGCGAAAACAAGAGATAAGTATGCAAGTACGTTAATTTGGGAATTTCTCTGTTTTGATGATTTCAGACAAAGTTGATCTGCATTGGTGGGATTATTGAGAATTGGGAGGAGATGGTTATAAAAAAGTATGGGAAGGAGAAGAAGGCTTTGGCGGTTTGATATGATCAAAAATGTAAGTTTGATTGTTTGAATGACATGTGGAAAGGCGGTGGCATGGTTCAACGGGGAGTTGGATGACTCAGCTGTGTTGCCATGCAACATGGTATACGTGTCACTTGTTTGGACGTTTAAACAAAACTGTAGAGCTGGTTTCAGTCAATGTTCCGCAAGTCCCATTAATATAAATAAAAATATTTTAAAATTGATGTTTAAATTATTAACTGAACCATTCAATGCATAACATAATGGTAATGAAGCGAGTTTATGAGATTAAAATATTTAAGCTTGGTTACTTACAAACTTGGCAACACAAATATGGTCTACTTACAAACTTGGCAAAACAAATATTATTGACTTTTAATCAAGAGTCGGCAGTGTACAAAGTTTTACAAATACTTTTTCCCAACATAAAATGCAACTACTTATTGTAGGCATCCTTTCATGCCCAAAATCAATACAATCAATCTTGTGTGATCCTAAATAACCATCATAAATCGTGGTGTATGATGTAACCTCTCTAGTGATCACTTTGCACGACATTACTAGAATACAGTTTCTATTGTATTCAAGAAACAAATCTTCACAAATATCGGTTAACAGTAAGATACGTGGTAATTTTTTCAGTGAGTTCAGATCGTGAAATGTACACTAAGAAAAAAAAAATGATATATAGTTCAAACTAAAAGGTAGAATCAATTCTGGAAACGGCTCACCGGATATGTATCGCATCATTTCTTGAACTATCACACTGTATGAATTCACTGTACTCCAAATCCTTTTTTTTTTTAACCGAAAAGGGCTGCATACATGAGCTCATTCCAGGTATCAGGCAATCCAGGGAGGCACCAATGACTGCAATCCAAGCCATTGTGCTCACTGTAATAAGTGGGATGAGCATCTTTACGGTATTGAGAAAGAGTGGTAATATCAAGTAAATAAACAGGCTTCTTGATTCTGCTCAACACTTTGTTCATTATAACTGTGGCCAAAGGTGTGCCTGCTGGATACCGTACACCAAAGTATGGTTGTGTCTCCCCAGCGCAAGATTTTGTTGGTTCATTCCAATCCCTGCCCCTATTATCATTTAATTTTCCACAAGGAGAAAGAAAAGACATTAAAATTAATGAACATTCAAGAGTTTCAATGCTAGCTTAGAGACAAGTCAAGGATCAACAACATTTTGGGAAATTAGATGGAGTTTCTTTCTATAAGAATAGCAAATGAATTATGTGAGTAAGAACAAAAAATCGTAATACTTGATTTGTTCCAAAATCATTGTCCATTTTGGAATTTTTCATTTTTAGTTCAATTTGTACTAAAAAATGCAAAATAGAACAATAATTTTGAAACGGAAGGAGTATATAATAGACAAATTTCAGTAAAATTAATAACTACGTTCTGATTTCACTTACTCGTAATGAACAGGAGAAATTCCTTGAAAGATGACTTTGGTTTTGGAAGGGTCAACATTGCGGTTGACCCATCTCGCCCAAGTCGTCATCCCTTTATAATAAGCAATCAAACGGTTCATGTCCTTTACTATTTTGTTACCATCTTGAATGTAATCCCATCTGCATTTTGCGTTAATGCAAGAAACTTCACTCGTCAAATTTCGTAAAATTTTGCAATTGACCTGATCAATGTTGAAACATGGTTACAAGAAAAACGTACGGTTGAGATCTTCCGGTGTGAGTCCACCAATGCCAGGAGTTGAAGATCAAAAGGTCCATACCTCTCCAAGCATCACCGTCACGAATTGAGTCCAACTGTAGGACCACACCCATATTTTCCTTCACCATATCCACCAGGTATGGAGTCCGATATAGAAATAAACTCACTCCATAATCCTGATCAATCAAACAAAAACATATGCTTAACCATCACAAAATCTCCCTTGAAACAATTTTTTTTATTATTTTTCACAAATTTTTCGGTCATTTAAAAGTTACGGAACATTTTAATGCAATCCTACCCTAAATTAATGAACCTTTTTTACTCTACCTCCTAAGCTAAACCTTAACAGCCACCCTCAAAGAAACATAATGCATTAATCTCTTCTCGTGACTGACTTAATTTCTTTATTAACAACTTTAATAATAATATAAGTGCAATAAAAATAGCAAGAAATAATAGTACTATTTCCACCATTCAGAACAATGCACGTGCAAACCCCACCACCAACGAAACAAAAAGAGAGAAAAGAAGATTCAAAATAGTCGGACGAATGGTCCCTTTTGTTAATTGGTTTATAGAGACTTCCTTTGTGCAGTTCCGTGAGTTAGTTGGTTTCGTTCTTTCCATTCTAACCCCACATTTTGTATACCTTTCTCCGATTGTCCCCCGTCAACTTCTGATTTCTAACAAATTCCCCCCATTAATTTGCTTCATTTATACGTGTTCCCTTCTCCTATTGATGGGCCATTCAATTTAATATAAAGGCAGGTCAATGTTGCAAATTTAAGAACCATTAATGGAATTAGTTAATCAATCCGTTAGGTTTGTGGCAAGTTATATACTAGTACTCCTCAAGAAAATTTCCAATTTTAGAAGTTCCATTTATGGTAATGTTAGTTCAGTAACTCATTAATACCAACATTTATATAGATCTATACGTTGTTTATTTACTTTTATTTCTAGATTTAGGGTCTACATTTACATTTCATCAACCAAAATCATTCAATCTGATAACATGACCAATTTTTTTCCCCCACTGCAAACAGTACTATCCCAGTCTTAAAATTGGGGGATACAATTTCCGCCTTACCCTAATTGGCTAATTCCTTAAAAAGAAGAAGTGGGAAAAAAGAACATATAATAGTTCATATGTGAGTATACCGAAAAATTTTAATGTGAATTCTTCCTCGGCAATTATGAACTAAATTGGAAAACAGGAGAAGCTTGAAATGGCAAGCAATGAGATTATTGACTGGTCACTTTCTGCCGGGTCCTCTTTTTCCTATTAAAAAAGACAAAAACCACAAATTGTTTTGAATATGATTAACTACCTTTGTTTTCTACGTAGTACTACCCAATTTTCCCACTGCATGATTACCGCTAAAATAATCATGACACCCTCATATCCTTCTTGATTTCACCATCATTTGCCCAAAACACTAATCATTACGGGACTATCACTGTTGGAAAATTCTAAGTAGGAAGCACAATTTGCTTCAAAGTTATTCTTTGCATATACTCCCTCCTGTCCTTATCATAAGACATTTTGATTTCGTCCTAAATTTAACCTAGGATGTCTTTTTAATTAAAAAAAACTTTAAATACATATTTTCATATTCGTTAAGTTCTCCTAATTATTATGAAATAGTTTTAAAGTTTTTATTTCAATTAAAAAGAGATCTTAAATGAAATCTTGGACGAAATCAAAATACCTTATAATAAGAACCGGAGGGAGTACCGTATAATAAAAAATAAAAAAAAAATCAGACGAGGAAGATTCGTGGTAAGATAATAAGAGTGAGACGATTGTAATTACAAGACAGTGAATTCAAAACTAATCGAAACAATCTTTAAAAAGTTTCTTTTTGGAAAAAAAAATACTGTACAAGATACAAAAAAAATTATAACTTGCATATTATCTTTTTACGAATGACCAATTTAGTCATTTTCAAATAACTAATCTTCTTTTTTAGTAATTTTTATTAACCTTTGTGCATGTGAAAGGAAGGCTTAAAATGTGTTAAAAAGTTCAAAGTCTCATGGAAAATGGACCATCGGCCTGCTTTTGCAAAAGTCACTGTTTTTTGGCTAATACCCCCTCCTGATTCCAGTAGCACTCAACTCAAAATTTCAAATAGATAATTGAAAAAAAAAAAGAAAAAAAGTAACAGATATGCGAAAAAACAACTGGCAAAAATCACTAACAAAGTAAAAGAATTATTCCCCCACAAAGTGTCCCCAAAAAAAAGTATATGCTGCTTTCTAGTTTCTTGTACTTTCCACACCTTCTTGAGCATATAAATTAGTATTACTTTGCTAAGGATATGTCTAATTAAATGTACTATATCTCAAGAAAATCGCGTACGTTATGATACAGTCGATGTATGAAATATCTTCCCGAAAAATAAACATTTTCCTAGTGTTATTATGATGATGGAGCCTAAGTGAAGGAAATTAAGGGGGCAAGAATGGCATGATGGAATTGAAGAGTGAATGAACATTTAGAACTTCACCTTCCAAAATTTTTGGGTAGAGGGATCGATAAAGACAAGGCATGCACGCACTAATTTAAAGCCCATCATTCAATTTCTCCAAGTAAAATTACCAATGTAAAATGATTGATAGGGGGGAAATCCAACAGTATCGGAATAAATCCCAAAAAAAAAAAAAAAAATTTAAAAAATGAAGAAACGGAGCATTAAATTGAAGAACACAAAACTCATCAAAACTTACCAGAAACGTGATTTGTGAAATCCCTTCTCTCCGTATGAAACTGTACCTTGACTTAGGCACTGATGAATGAAGCATACAACCCAATGAATTCCACATGTTCAAACTCAGTGAATCCCCCACAAACATAATCTTCTTCCCCCTCCATTTCTCCAAGAAAGCCACCCCATTAAACCTGCAAGGAAAAACAGGGGAACAAAAAAAATTCAAGTACAGTACTATCAAAATTCCAGACCAAAGATTTGAAATTTCGAAAAACAGAGGATTTGTAGTACCTTGGGAGATTACACGAAAAGGGTTGCCACCGATACTTGAGAAACATCTTATCAGGCCTTTTGTACTGGAGACAATTGAATTCTGAATCTATAAAAGGACATGATGAGGAATCATACAGAGGATATGAAGCATCGTATACCCATTTGCCTTGGAAAATGTTGCATCCGCCAGCCAGCTTCCTACTGGCTCTGCCGCTAATTGATTCATTTTCGGTAATAAATTCTGCAGTGGAATGATTCAGTAATTGCTGGAGCTCGAGGTCGAACTCCAACTGGGGATGCAGTACTTGGTGGGAATTTGTTTTTTCTAGTGAAAACAGAAAGAATAGGAGGAAGAAGAGAGGCTTCATGTTTTGAAATTTTGTCCTCTGTTTAGAAGGAAAATTGAAGGAGGAATTTTAATGGAGTAATAAAGGTAGTGTCTTTATAAGAAAAGTGTTATGATTCCAAGCATTTTCATATGACTACTGTCTCTAACGTACGACTTCCTTTCTAATGTGTGTGTGTGTGTGTGATATTTATGGTTCGACCGGTCTTATACTCCGAACAGCGAGGGACCGCACCTGTATACTTTATAGAAATTATTTTTTCGATCCTATAGAGGTAAGACGTCTCACCTATTTAGAGTACATTACGGGTTTAATCTATTTAAGAAGTAGAAAATTACGTTGATCCTTCACACCAAAATGAAGAAGAAGAAGAAGTAGAGAATCACAATGGATCAGAAACGAAAATGAAACAGTATTCTCTTTCGTTTTTTAAGTGTAATCTGTGGTGCGACGCAGCCAGCCAAATTAGTTTAACAATTTGTTGATTGATGATAAGAGTAATTTACATAGGTATGCCAAGAAGAATGTCTACAGCTGGATGAACCTTTATCCAATTTGAAAACACAACATTTTTATCGATATTGCTCATTTGCTATGTTAATGTAAGTGTATCTATCGGCTACATACGAACCCGGAACTCATCCATTATACACTGCAAAAATATATAAATATATATATATATATATTTCTTCTGTCTCAAAGTAATTGTTCAGTTTAAATTTTAACTTTTAGTACAATTTACATTGAAAATGAAAATCCAAAATAGACAATTATTTTGAGTACATAATTTCCGCTGTGAAAATTCAGAAATTAATCTTTGGATAATCTGACATGCTACTGTGTTTACTTACAGTAGATCTATTCAGCTACTTATGACATAGCTGAAATCTATGGGATTTTTTTTTTTTTTTTTTTTGAATAAAAAGATCATTTGTTTCGTAATGAAAGCAAATGAGATTAGTTGGATCTTGGATGGACTTTATGCAGAACTTTTTCTATTGTGGGGTAGAACCGTAGAAGGGGTTCTTTTCTTTCTATATCAAAAACAAAATAGCACCGATAAATAATGATTATTTTGTTCTTATAAGAAAAGATTGCATTTTTTTTAAAAAAAAATAATAATATTTTTGTGCTCTATATTAACACTTTTCGTAAAGGTGTGGAGTAAATTAATGGAAACAAAGAATCGAATAACAAGGTGATGAAATGAATTAATGAACCACAGTTTCAGTTTAGCATCATTGTTAATTAAGTACTGTACTAGCAATTAATCATAATTAGTGCCACTCCTAGCTGTTTATACTCTGATTGATTCCTTCTATCCTTATTATATCATTTGTAAGGCACAAAATACAAATTTACTTGTCTTCTGTTCTGTTACTGCTCAAGAGAATATATGGGCCTTTGTTTTGTTTTGAGGAAGTTGATAACCTGTGGAGGAGACGTAATTGTATACTACTACAATTGCACCCAAAAACTCTGTTTCAAATTTATGTTTTATCCAAATTATTATGTAAAATTACACAATATATATCTATGATGTACAAGCGTTGAGTAGAATAGCTCTCGAAACTAGTTCAATCTTACCAAAAATAAATGATCACCTATTCAATCTTACCAAATTTTCGTGTTACATATAGTTCCATTGATTGCGGAGCTATAGGGAAGCTAAAGTCAGAAGAAGTAATTGCAAAACCTCGTGAATACAAGAAAGTTTTATTAAATAAATGGCAGGACGCATGAGAAAATCAGGAGATCAGATTAGATTTATTTTATTTTTGTATTCTTATTAAATTTATTTTTCACTCTTATATAATTTGCTCTTTAATTTCGTCATCCATTTTTCTTCCTTCAGTTAGTTAATTTCCCAGTCGGATAAAGAGATTTCAGGCGTTCATACAGGTCTAATTATGAGTATAAGAGAACGGTTGAGCAGCGAATGGAGTAATAAAAATGCAGCTTGTGTTTCGAAAAAACTTAATTTTACACTTGTTGTTTTTTTTGAGCCTCTGTTACCGGCGGAAGGTCTAAGGGGTATCAAAGACATAGTGAGTTGTCGATGGTTCTGTATCTATAGGTGAAACACGATATAATCGGTATTTCTCGCTCACAAAAACATAGTTAGTTAAGTCTTTCTACTCACATAAGTATATTTCCTACTTACAGAAGTATAATTAGTCTTTTACTTTTTCTTTTTTCTTTTTTTCCCATTGACGCCAAATCGCCAACAACAACACTAAAGTAAATTAAACTAATACAATTATGCAATATGTATGTACAATTAAACTAATACACTTTTTTGTATAATTGTGACACGAAGTAAATTTGGATTACTTGCATCTCTAGAGGAGTGACTAATTTCACGTGAATACTGCTACGTGATCTAATATATCAATCGTAAAAACTTTTATTTTGAGAGACAAATTTTACGGTTAATTATTTGGTTTTCTAGGCAGCTGATCCAAGAAGGTATCAACATTTTTTCTGCTCATAATCGAATAAGTGTTTGTAGTTGAAATGCGATGATATTATCCGTATTTCTCATTTACGGAATCTTATAATTAAAATTAATCCGGCTTCGGCTTTGTCTTTCATTTTTTCAACAAGAATTTGGCTCTTTTATTTTACAAAAAAGAAAAGTCACAAATATTATGACTCATGGGTTCTTCCATATTTTTTCTTCTTTTTTTTTTTTTTTGTTAATAGTTACTAAAAGAGTGATTTGGTTTCAATATTTTCATTAAAAATATTATCCCATTTCGTTATATATTTCCACCTATTATACATATTATTGTTCTTATAAAAATAACGAAATGTTGCATAGAAACTTTTTCAACATGACAAACACAAATCTAGTGTTTGCTTTCAACTGAATTTTACAATGATGTAACATACACTGCAAAAACAAAAAACCTTGCAATGAACTTTTTTTTTTTTTTTTTTCCCTTCTTCTTCTTTCTGAAAAGTCGTGATGGAACATATTTAGATGCATGCGATTGATGTAAAATATTGAAAATGAAATTTGCCTTAACCTCTCCATCTGGCACCAAAACGATGGCAAGTTGGCAACCATAACAGCAAACATGAATCGATTGTTTTGACAGAAGAATGTGTGTGCACATTCTTTGCCCTCAAAAACCAAATAATTAAGCTAAGCTTCTTTGTCCAATCTACTACAAGACATAAGTAACTATCTGATTGAGACGACACCTTATGATTCGTGTTCTTCTTCCGATCCTTAATATAAGACATTTTGATTTTGACATAGGTTTCATCTAGTACGCATTTTTAATTAACAGAAAAATCTTAAACATATATTTTCACATTTGTTACATTCTCTTGATTGTTATGAAATATTTTTAAGGTTTTTTTGTCAATTAAAAATATGTATTAGGTTAAACCTAGAAAAAATCAAAATGCCTTAGATTAAGGACCGGAAGGAGTATTAATTTAGTTATTATTATTATGATGTTTAATTTTGATTTTTGGTCGCAAACCAAATGATATGGACTTCTATAAAGATTAATGTTGGAGCAATTATACTGAGACGGCTAAAGTTTATCTTATCTAACGAAAGTTACATTTGGATATAAACATCAATTCAAACATCACGGATCTTTCCAAGTTGATTATTGGGAAGCCTTCTGTAAAATCTGTTGAACATAATTGATTGACAAGTTGATATGTATACATGGCCGCGACTCCAAAGAATTATGGAGTGAAAAGCTATGTCTAAATTCAAACTGTATAAGTTTGATTACAATATAAGAATGAGTTTCAAAAGAAGTATTTTGTTGTACAAATTATACATATTTCACAAATAAGATTTTTATTTTAGTAGGGAATGAATTTGTATATCAACCATTTATATATATGTACTTTGATTGCGAGACCTTGTAATGACAAGATGTTAGTTTTTTGTTTTTAAAAAGAAACTTGGTGTAAATTGCTTTGCATTTACTTTTACGCACACCCTGTTATTATTTTGGCCATGCCATTATGAACTTATTATATCGTAAAATGATTGGAATTAGTTGGGTATTTAGATTGCGTGTGGGGATTGGTCTCTTGAGAAGTCCAAAATGCAATAATGCTATAGACTAGGAGAGGGAAGAACGTGTCCAAAATGCAATAATCAGCTAAACCATCCATGCAAAAACTTGATTTTGACACAATTTGTGCCATTATATATTCTTCCAATCATGGTGGTTTTAGTTTAATGATTTCCCGGTTATATATTTTCTTATACTTAATCGTCGAAATCAAATCGTTAGTTTTTTTTAAAAAAAAATAAAAATTGGATGATCCCAACGAAAATTGAACCCTCGACCTCTCCATCCTAATCTCCCAATCACCCCACCAAACCTTCCTACCCGAAATAGTTAGTTTAACATTGAGACGGGGAGGATATATCTCGGTTCGAAAGCCATTGGATCCGCTTTTACATGCAAAAAACTATATACTACTTTCTCTATCCAACGTGAAAAGAAAAAAAACAATTGTGTCTAACTTAACAAAAAGGAAATATCACTTTGCATTTTCTTCTTTTTATACTAATTAAAAATGCTCTTTTTCTGAAAACCTATATATATACTTGATTCAATTCTTAATAGGAAAATGATCTAGATAAACATGTTGGTTACATACACAAAGGGAACCTTTACACTTGAAAAGCTCTCATTGTTCCTTTCAGAAAAGGTTAAAGGGATGGGCGGAACAAGATGAACAAAATTGGAATACTACTTAAGTGTGAAGATAGATCTTGATTAACTTTAGAATAAACTAAAGAAAGCCAGCAGCCTCTAGAGGAGGCAAAGACTAACTAAAGATGTAGGACCCTGCAAACTTATTAAAACAGAAAGAAATTAACTAAAAAGATAACTACTTTTTCCTTAGAAAAATCATTCCTTAAATCTAACATAGGTGTCACACCTTTTAACCCAATATCGGCTTTTCAAATTCGACCATAGACATAAAACAGTTCTGAATCTTCTAGTTCGGCCATGGGTATAGATTATAGAATAGGGTCTTGAATAAATTTGTTAGCCAGCTCTTTCAATTATCTAAAAACTTTATCTGCATGCAATAAATACTCAAAGTATCTAGATTATTTTATTTACGATAAACACTCTGTCAATTATATATAAAGCAAAAAACTTAGAATTATTTTGTGGTTGAACTTATCCATGAGTTCCGAGAGGCTAATTCTTGACCTTGTTAGTGGCACAAGGTACAGCGGTTGGAAGAGCCTCTACCATGGACAAGATTGTGGCTTCAACATGATATAATTGGGATTTCTTATCCTCGAAATATTATTATTTAGTTCTCTAGGCGTGAGCCTCTAAAAAAAAAACAAACAACTTAGAATAATTTTCTCTCCAAGAGGAATATCATCGTTGCCCAAATCCCCCACCAAAGCCACCACCATAGACCAAACCCACCACAGAGGACCTAAAACATGTACAAAAAGGCCAATTGCAAGGCGGCTTTATGCCATTTTCTCCACCAATTTGTGCGCCAACTTCTCTTTCAGTGTTCCCCTCAACCCACATGCATGATTGCTATGCTACTACTATATTATATTACAGCGCTACAGCTTAGCTAAATACATCCATCGGACCCCCTCAAGCTTTATTTTTTATATGGTGCCCATGCACATGAAAAGAAAAAGGAATCAAATATATATATATATATATATAAAAAAAAACATGTGGTTGAGGAAAGCAAGGCTTGAAACGAATTGAGGTAAAACAAATTGATGATGATGGATGAAGTCTATACATGACCAGCTAACATCATTTTGCCCTGATTGGTACTACCTCTATTTCTTACGTAAATTGCAACGAAAAGATGGATAACAATTAAGAATTTTTTAAAAAATTTTCTTTAAGTGAGGTTTGTATACTCTATATATCAATTACACAATGAAATGGTTCGGACAGATTCTCACACTGCAATTGTCTTTTTTAGATAATCTGAACCCCCTTAGAATCGAGTAACGTCGTATCACATTGCGATTCACTAGCAAATCAAGACCATGCAGTTTTGATTACCAGTCATAATAATATATGCCACATTCCAAATATAGAATACCTTCATTTTGGGGACTGTGATCTCTAACTACCAGAGACTACTAGATCAATGATATGATGATGCATGGTGTAATTCTGGTCAGGAATTGCGTAGAATCCCAACAAAGAACGGAATGAGGTGATGGAGTGATGAAGAAAAGTGAAAAGAAAATTGGATCCAATCCATAGTGAAAAGGAGTTTTTTTTTTTTTCTTTTGGTAAACTGGAGGAGAGACTTGTTCTTTGGAGGCGATCTGCCTTCCAAAATCAATGTCTGAATATCATGGTCATTACTTTTATCTTAATTACTCCCTCTGTCACGAAATAATGATATGGATGATGATTTCGGGACATGGTCGTTAACTTGGAATTTTGAAAGGGAAAGAGGAGAATTTTTCCTTTTCATTCATTCAATGAACCACTCGCCCCAAACATTGTCCTGCTTTCTTCCGTTTGTTAGAAGCAAAATGATTATACTGTTATGGAAGTCTTGCATTGATCATGCAAGTCAAGATAAAAGGGTGGACCAAGTTGATATTTATACAAAATCATAGTAATTGCATCAACATTATAAAATTGGAATAATTGCATTTGTGCTCCACATGTGGGGGTTGGTCCACTATTACAAAAGACCAATTAACAGTGCATCAACATCATCATCATCATCATGAAGAAATGGATTTCACTCAGGCTCACAATCAGGGTTCCTCACTAAATATGATAGTACTATTTTGGGATATTTCTTGCTTAAAAGTCGTTAAAGGTGTTGGATTAACGAAACCATGATCAGCTTTGATCTTCCACTTATATGTAACAGTGATCAAAATTTTTATTGGAAGATCTGAACTCGATTCCAGGTTAATCACGACTGTTGCTTCGAACGCTAAATGAAATACTAAGTAATACATAACCCTTTATATGATGAGCCAAAGGGATTATACGTATATACAAAAAGATCAAGACCGTTTGACAGATCATATGGCAATAACTAAATTCTCAGCATTGATGTGGATATAATTAGTTTAATGGAACTGGTTCTTTCAGTGTAGTAAAGGCAGTAGGCCAACGTTTATCAACATGTTATTTGGAATATTCATTTGTATCCTTTTATTATTATTACAGTACTTTTATAAAGTCCTGTCAGTCATCATCAGCCTTTAACCTTTTATGATTTGGATCAAAATGGCTTACCAGCCTCTGATTAGCTGCATCTACCCGACAAGCCAAATTGGGCAAAATCAATGAAATTAGCAGAACACTCATATGTAGCAATGGATTATTAGGTTGCATAAGAATCACTTTTCAACCTCTGAAGTCTGGAATTGTCCCCTCAGGAATCCCAATAGCAAGGAAGCTCAATTTCCCAGTTTCAAGGACCCTCCCACAAAGGTAGGCATAGGATCGGATGCAAATAGTTCGGATTAGGTGAAAACTCAAAAAAGGAGGAGATGAGAAAATGATAAAGAGTCTACTACTAGACCTTTATCACGTGTTAATCATCAATGTGCTTCGTAAGTGTTCTGTCCCTTTCCATTTTCGGCGCTGTCGAAACCAACACTTCTTAACTAGAGTTCTAAAATCCTGTTGCTGGCATGTATCGCACTATACCACAACCAACAATTCAACACTCTTGCTGTGGATCATCATAGCTAGCAAAGCCCAATACAGTGTTTCTCTTTTGTAAGGATGAATTCTCGATGCCAAACTCAAGTTGCACCAGCTGCAAAACGAAACATCTCTTTCAACCAGGCAAAATTTATGACACTACCTAAAGCTCGTTGGCAGTAAGGCTCATAGAAGGGAGTTCGAACGACACTCCCTCCTGTATATTGGAGATAATTCTACAAAATGAAGTTTCCTAATCCAAAACACCATGGAGTACTTACTAATGAAACATAAAATACCTGGTGTATATACTCTATCAATCTCGAAAACCAACTCCAGTATCCAAATACTTATACCAATATCCAAATACTTGTACCAAAATCAATCCGGGACTTGGCAATAAACAGTTAAGCGCTTACCTTAGATGACAAGTCCTGCTCTCATCACCGCCTATGCACAGAGTGCACCCTGCGCGTCCCTGAACCCAAGAGTTTTGCATCGCACAATATTCAGATATTCAAAATTGCAAAAGAAAATGATAGAGCCCAACACAACCCAACTTCCACCGGCAACCATGATAATTCAGCACCAGATGCTGGCTACATAGGATGACATAAATACATAATATCTCAGCCTCTCAGGCTTAAACTCATTTGATTTTACAGCCATTCCTGCATATAATTTTGGAGTTTCTGCCATTATATAACATAATTATATATGACCATTTAAAGGGATTACCTTCCCTTGCGTGCATAACTCATATGGATTGCTATATTCCAAGGGACTATCTTCCCTTATAGCCTAAGGTTATCTACACTCAGCATTTTCACTTCCATTTGCTACTATTAACTGACAGCATCATATGAGCCGAAGGGAAATTTATTTACATCATAATAATTATGTTTAGAGCAACTCCCACTCAGATTCAGAACTATGGGCCGGTAATATCTTTGTGCTGGAGTCTGCTTGGCAATCAGGGTTGCTTCTTTGTCCACTTCCTTGAACTGGTTCTTCCTCTGAATAATTTACTGCAAGTTGTTCATATGCTTTCCTTGTCAACCTTACTCTTGATGAAAAAGCCTCCCTTAGTTTTTTCTGGGGAAAATAGATTAAGATATCAGGAACAGAAAGGAAAACAAAATAAAAGAGGAAAGTCCACCCCAAAGGCATCAACAAAACATCAAGAGCATCTTCCCAGAGAGATAGGTAGACATAACACCTTAAAGGATTTTCGGTCGCCTTTCACCAGTGGAAGGGCATGAAGTCTTTCACCATCCACCATTACACATGTTTCCTCCAGAAAGGACTCGTTATAAGGCTCAACGATTTCCACGTCAGGATCAATGGTAACATTACTCTTAGCTGCATCTATGCTACAGCCATCTAGTCTTTCTGCACAATGTGAAAGTTGCAATGTGAAAGTTGCATATTCAGATGCATAATTTGGTTGAAAAGAGAAAGCTGTTAAAGACGAACATGACGAACAAAAGGAAAGGGACTTGCTCCAACACTAAAACTCATATGCATGCACTCTCACCCGCCCCAGTCCAGCTGACCAGTACAGGAGGGGGCATGATCGCGGGGGGCCAGGGGGAGAAGAGAGGGAGATAGAGAGGGATGGCCATAATCGTGTCGTAACTTACAAAAAATGTGGTGAACAACATGTATTTCAAGTTTAAAGTAATTACATGAGAAAGGACACCGTCATACAGATACTATAAGCCAATCTTAGTTTCTCAAAAACTGAGTTTAAGAATTATGCTAGACCACATGCAGTAAGCTATAGCTGCTACACTAGATAATAAAAAGACACTGGCAATAATTGGCTCCCCATAATTAATGTTTCATACAATTATCCTCTAGATGCGCATGCCTCATTTCTTTATTATTTTAATAGTCTAGACCAGACATTTAAAACTGCCTGCATTGCAATCACATTAATTGGTATTTACAACACAGATGACCTTTATTCAACATTTGATTAATAAATTGTCTTCTCCACAGAAACCTTGGAGTTGAGATTGAACAGAGAAATGTCAAAGTCTACCATATCACCAAATGGTCAGATTTAAGCATAATACTTTCTAAACTTATCACAATTTAATGATACATTTCTACACATGGTACCTTGGTGAGCCCTGGTGACTTCTTCCCTGGAAAATTCCTCATAGTCTGTGTCATCGTAAATGGTTTCTTCAGTCCCAGAAGTAATTCCACCTTTCATACATGTCTCTGCAAACAAACCCAGTATTAGTGTAAACCAACTTCGGATTCCAGATAAACAATGATAAATATGTGCATAGCATTATAAACAATATAAACAAAAACATAACAATAAGAGTAAGGAGTTATACCAGAAGACACTGATGATAAGCCACCAGATGCGCATGTAAATGCATGATCAGCTTGTTTCTGCCCGGTTGTTGCAGCAGAAAGGAGTGTAGAAGCATCAGGAGAAATTACTGAAGCAGGTGCATGACCAGTATTCTTCAAACCATCTGACGAAGCTGACTCAATCATGGAATCAGCAGCTGGAGAACCAACTTTAGTAGATGCAGCATCAGTCTGCAGATGCTCAGTTCCTAATGCTGATGTAGAAGTAGCTGGGGAATCAACGGACGCACGTGAAATAGGTAGAACTGTATCAACCACAGGTTTGGAAAATTTCCCAGTTGTGTCCCTGGAAACTCCATCGAACTGAGCAGGAGGGACGGCATCAAAATGACCGGTGGTCACTTCACGACTTCTTTTCAATTGGGCAAGCGGAGACACGTTATTTTTAGTTTCTAAAATGGGAGCAATTGGTGCATAAAGAGGTGGAGCCAAATTTCCCTTAAAACCCCCTTTCCTATTCGCAGTAGCACGCCTGTAAACTCCAGCACTAACTTTCCCTGTATGGTAAAGAATGAGAGCAAGATCATGCGTCAAAAAAGTGAACCCCATCAATATCGTGAAAAAGAAATATAGATCTTCATCTTACCAGAGATGACTTTAGAATCATCACTAAATTTCCAGTCAGTCTCTCGACCATCTTTCTTTGACCTTGCTTTCCGCTTAAGCTCACATTGAGCATACGGATTCAAGGACAAGTCGGCAGCAGCAACTTTCACGGGGTCAACATAAGACTCTGGATCCAAGTCTTGCAATACATCTGAATAGAATCTCTTTACTGTTTCTCCTACAGTTTGAACTTGATGTTCAACATACTTGACAGTGTCCTGTCAAAGTGCGGCTATGGTCAATAATAACATCAATGAACACTACATTGTGTCTACACATACAACCGACAAAAGGCCAAACTATAAGCGAAATTGAAATAAATCATGTCAATCGTGATATATATTCACATGGTAGCAATCATCCACTGAAAACCTTCTGAAAGCTCAGCTTTCCAGCTTCTGAAAGCTGTTGTTTGAAGTAATCTCTTCAACAACATGTAACTGAAACAACATCCATCTGAAATCTGGGTTTCCCCAACAGCGATCAAGAGATTGCTTATTAGTGAAGACATTTACCTCATACATAGCTTCTTCCATCTCCAGGCACATAGCTTCAAGCTTCTGATATATATTCCCAATCCATGCAAGACCTTTCACATCCATAATTCAGCAAATGATAAAGTGACACCTTATTTTCTATGTTTGTGTTGTGTAACTGCAAAAAAAATAATAATAATAAAATAAAAAAATAAAAAAATCACTTGATAAGTGAACTACAGAAGCTAGCTCGAAAAATAAATTAAAACCCATGTTTATTATGACGTATAGCTGATTATGTTAATTGGTACAATGGTATAGTTCCGTCATGCTGTCACCAGAAGGATAAAATGTACCCAGTTATGAGTCAGGTTGATGACGCTATGCATGTGGTGTCACAACAATAGAAAGGCATAGTGAGAATCAATACTATAGTTGTTAAGGCATGAACCATAAAAGTAAATGTCATCAACCTCGAGAAGCTCATCAAAATATACATAAAAATCGAGTAGAACAGCAACTTTAGATTGTAAATTTCAATTAATAAGCTAGAAGAAAAAGAAATGCTAAAGCAAAATAAATGTAGCATGAATAGCTTTCATGCCAGGAACAGATATGGAAACAAAAAGACACTAAATTTCTCTAACCCTAATATTGCCGCCTTCTCCAAACAAAATTTTCAATCCTAACCCCACCACCACAGTATGACAGTAAACCTCAAATGATTTAAATCATTAACAAATAGGGTTCGAAGATTCTTAAATGAATTCAAAATCACACAGAATTCAACATTAGTAGTGAACATAGCTATGAGACAAGATTCTTGCAAGTGAGAGAAAGTGAACAGATAAAGATATTGAGCGACGCAATCATACCATCATGAAGTTAACCAAAAAAAAAAAAAGGGATTACCATACATAGTGTTCAACCAAATCATCCCATTTGGAAACAACAAAATTTAACATCATTAAGCGTGATACTACATAAATCATGGGATGTCAAATTCCTATCTGGTTTAACAGACTTAGCACTCAATTCATTGCCTAGCGTGGGAAAGAAGTGGCATATTCAAAGTCAGTAAACTACTATAATAGCAAATAAGTGAAATGAATTGATATGAATGCTTGATAGACCAAATGCCAATCGCCGCAACAAATAGCACAGAACACAAAAGGGGGCGAAATCATTACCCTAAATAAGACAGGGGGCACAACAAGAGAAAGCTTCATATACCAGGTTTGTATAATGATCTTAAATGGGCAAAAAGCCTATGCAGTTCACCCTTGTCCCCTTGTCCTTTCCTGTTCCCTCTCCATAATGTTCAATTTTTCGTTATTCAGAAACTGGTCTACAAGCCCGTTAGGAAAGCTTGATATATGATCCAATTCCATTTTCAATACAAAGAAGTGATCTCTAGCATTACTTTGGCTTTGGCGTACAACCAAGGAAATTTTCCAGCAAGCTTTCATAGCACTTCTCCGACTTGCATAGAACTCCAAAGAAATTCTTTTCCTATACCAGAATATACTTCTAAGTCTGTACAAGGAATAAACTTATGTTTCCAACGATTAAATAAAGACTCAATCTTTCATGTATTCTCAGGACCAATTTAGCAATTTCATCAAAACTACACTTTAAGCCACAGTTCACACAAATGGTATTCCCAACCCATCAATCACTAGTCAATTACCAAGAACTTACAACTTAGACAGAGGAGCCCTAAAAACACAAAAAAAATCAATTGGAAAAGCAGGAATGAAGAAAGCTTTAGCAAAACACAATCCAATTTCACTTCGAGGTTACCAAATAACAAACAACTGTCAGTTGATCACAAACACGATCCCATACAGAAAACTTCCAAACACAAAAGAAGCTAAACGTGCTGGATATTATAATATGATCATCCATGTCAAAAACAGAAAATCAGTAAAGTAAAAAAGATTAAGCAGAAAAAAAGCTTACATATGCTAAAGGGGGAAAAAAGGAGGAGGGCCCGGGAAGGGGGAAAAAAAAACCTATCTTTGTTTGATAAATTTGAGAAAATACTCAAATAGAGCACACCAGATAAAGCTGTGGTTTTTAAATACCTTGCTGAAAAGAAATGATAAAACCCTCCAAGGGGGAGCTGCTGGTTTAGGTTTTTAGTACAGAAATATAGTAGTCTGTGTAAGAGATAAACATCATAATCATCAAGGGGCGAGAAGAATTTAAGGGAAAGAAGAAGTTTTTGTTGTGTGTGAGAGAATCAGAAACGTATAAATGGAGTTCATTCGGTTTCGTGGGACATGGGCTCTGGCCACGTGTACGACCTAAAGTACACTTTTTTTTGTAAAATCCTCTTCTAGAGGCATGAAATTACGGAAAGGATAATACTCCGTATTTTGTTCCAACATCATGTCTTTTGTTTTTTTCTTTGTTTTTGGTATTATTATCGTCAGAAAACATGTCCAAAGTTATTGCCCTAACTAAACATGATCGACATTAATTTTCTTGAAAGAAAAATTTTTCCATCTAAGTATGTTTCTTTTTGCCAAGTATTCTCACTAGTACTTAATATAAGATATTTTGATTTGTTATAAAAATATATATTTTTAATCGATAAAAAAATTTTAAAAATATATTTTCATGTTCGTTGGATTTTGTTAATTGTTAGAAAATATTTTTAACAGTTTTTTGTCAACTGAAAATACGTACTAAGTAAAACCTATGACAAATCAAAATAACTTATATTAAGAACATGGGGGAGTATTACAAAAGCAATTGCATATTCATGTCAAATTTTTAAGTTCTATTCGTGATTAAGCCATCTTTGCCATGTAATTTGTGCTAATGAAGGCAAAAGTCAACTTGTTCAGTAAATTCATTCTCAAGAAAATTGCTGACAGTTTAAATTTATTACCTCTTTCGGTTCAATATTTTATCAAAAGATCGAAATTATTTTATCTTACGTGTCAAATATTTATATCTGTTTCGACTCAATCTCAACTAATTTATCAAACGATCGAAATTATTTTGTCTAAGGTGTCAAATCGAGCGGTTAAAAATCATTATCATAAAGTTTCCACATATGAAGTGGTGGAAGCATGTTATGAATATTACTACGTGTCTAGTTATTAATACTTCCTCCATTCACCAATAGATGTCGTTGGAGGAAAACTCAAATATTCCAAAATAGATGTCATTCTCACAAATCGAGACATATTTTGTCAATTTTTTCCAATATCACCCTTACATTGGAAATTGTTGTGATGTTTATTGTAGAATTGTATTAGAAGTGAATTTTATTGGGATTACAATTGAATTAAGAATAAATGAGGGTGTTATAGTATTTTAACAAGATAATTATTGCCTCCTTAAACTTTGTGAAATCTCTCCAGCGACATCTATTTGTGAATGGAGGGAGTACTAGTTTAAAGGTTTTACCAACAAAAAATATGAACCTTTCATTAAGCGAATATAGATTAACATGACCCTTAACTCTTAAGCAAGGTTGAAGCGAATAGAAAGATCTTGAGGCGATTTTCGCTTGGTTACTAATAAAACTATTAGCTAAAACAATTCATTAATCCGCCTTCAATAGACTCTCCAAGTACTCACACATTCTGATTAAATACCAACCAAAAACCTGAACCAAGGAAATTAACTGAAAAGCTCTTTCACTGTTTTGAAGGATTATACTTACAAGAAAATAGTGATGCAGTTTTCTAGCACGTTTCTTTGCTTTCCCCTTTTTGGGTTCGTATTTTCAAATTTTTAGCTCACAAATTAAACAAATGCATTATCAACCAGCAGCTTGAAAATCTCCGAAGTCGTCGTCTGGAATGTCTTGTGCAACTTGATGATCTTGTGAGGATAATGATTCTTTAGATTCTTCTTTAGGTGATACAGAAGCCTGGATTTCAGAAGATTCCTTAAAGCTGGGTTTTGAAGGGAACCCTTCATCTGACTTTTTAGGACTCACCACAGGTGAGACTGACGCTGGTGGAGGTGGAGGCGGTTTGAGAGAGATTACAGACTCTTTTGGACTACTCTTTTCTTCAATCGAGAGATTGTTCAAACCCTGCTCGAAAAACTTGGACTTAGTGCCGCGACCGCTTTTCTGTATAGAAGAAGAATTCACAGAGTAATAAGCAAAAAATAAATAAATTCACAAGAAGCGAGAGAACTCAATAAATGGGGAGATCCAGATAACTTGCATTTTTCAGTTGCAGCCTTAGAGTCTCCCCTTCTTTTAAACTATAATCGACAGAGGAAGTTTGCTGATATTGCTGTTCCATTTCCTCCGCAACTTTCTTCTTATCTAAGTACCTAAGTTTCAAACAGAAACAGACATTATTATGAATGCTTGCATGCATGAGGCAAAATGCAATACAGATGCTGCACACACACGAAACTGGATCATTTACAATGAAACACTCTAGACTGTCAAGTGAAAAAGCCTAAGAACGAAAAACTTTACTTCATATGGTCATGAAGAGCAGCTTGGAAGTCATAAGCTTCAGGCCTTTCTCGGAATCCAATACCAATAAAAGCATGCCGAATTCGGCCTCCTGTCATATGGAAGGAAGATGCCAACTTTAGCATATCATAGATGCAAATGACAAAACTACAAATAATATGGTTTCTTTTAGACATTGTTAGTGGTGAAATCTTTAAGCAACCTTCTTGAATTAGAAAGCTTATGTTCCATTGCAGTCCAACAAATCAATTTCACTACGCTGTTGTATGCTAAATATGAATGAAGCTTTTCCGAAATATATATTCATACATGAGTCACTTGAAAACAACATACATTGATATAATATTCCAGAATTTGGAAGCTAGACATGAATCAAAATAATAAGAGAATCACAAATTTAAGAGAACAAGACAACAATGGATTACCGATATTTTCTTCAACCCTTAGGACAAAATACCTGCAAAGAGAGTGCAAAAGGGAGTTACTTTTCTTTGCCAAGTATGTCGCCATAAAATCAAATTGGCCATTTCATATGAAGCGGTGTCCGACAATTAGTCAAGAGTGAAGTTTTCCAACAGAAACTTCATGCATTAAAAGCTTCCTAAGTCTTAACAATTGCATTAACCAATTGTGACCAAAATACAATTTCCACCGGACAGAAGATTTTACTGTGTTAGTCAAAATATGTGCAAACCTGCTGCTATCAATTACAGGCTCCACAGGATGAGGCTCCCCATCTCTGAGAAAAGCTCGAGCATACAGTTCACCTGACACAATAATGAAAATCATTAAAAGTTGTTTATCAATACTAACACAGTTTTCAAATGCACTATTTGCCAATCAGAAAATAGAAATGATTTACCTGATGTCTTATCTTCAAGCCTGATGATGCATTCCTCTCCCTTACTGATAACTTTCAGAGCACCCTCCCATGCCCATTTGTTGACATTCCACTCATCTGCCCTACATATAGCGAGAAATAACTCATTCTTCGCTCAGAATAATAGGCCCCTTTATGAGGGAAGGAATTTCAACAATCTGACCATTTTCCTGCAGGAAGCATAATCTGTCTCTTCAACTACCAATATTTTACTACTCCAAGACTCCATCCAAGTGTTTATATCGAAGATTGTTATGTATTTTTTAATCAAGCCTTCCTCCTATTTAAAAGCATTCTTCTATATCTTGAGCATAAACCTCAAATTCAAAATTGGAAAACAGTTGCTGCTTCCTTCCACATTTATTCATTCAGGCATTATACAAACCAATTGCTCGAGTCAAATAACTGCTAAAATACAGAGCACAAGGTTAAACATTGAACTCTTCCTCACAATTCATTACGAGAATACACCATTAAGCACCTCAATTCATCTCTTTTTTTTAGCATTCCTTTTTCCGCGGGTAAATTCATCTTTTTGTTAATAGATGTAACTAAGGTCTCACAAAGAAAAAAAGAGTAAAAATTTTGTACATATCTGATGTAAGATAAGAATGTACAAAAGTAAATGAGCATGGTCAAGGAGATCATTCTAAATGTAAGGAGAAACTCATTGATGTGTGAGCATGACAAAGCAAAGAACCACCTTAAAGAGCTTCATTTACTCGATCAAAGTATTTTGCAGAAACGATCGAAAACTAAAAATCCAATTTGTACAAAACCTAATTACTGCTAATCAATAACACAGTAGAAACTTGGTATCCCGGTCATATTTTTGGGTATCAAATCATAGTCAACATGCTTAGTAAAGATGCAAAAGAAACAACTTTTCAACTGCATTACAACAAATGTATTCCTCGTGGAAATCTTGAAACTAGTTGTCAAAATTATCAAAAGTAGTAAAGGTAAAATCACTTTTAGAACAGATGAAAATACCTGTAAGAAGCAGCACTTATCCTTGGAGGGATCTGCAGGAAGAATAAAGCAGATTAAAGTTAAATTGATGGCAGATTAGATTAGGAGCATAACGGAGGTAAAGTGATAGGGGAGACACAGGTTCAAGATCTCCTCTCTCAAATTGAATCTCCTCTCTCAGATTGCACATCTCATAGCAACCCTTCCCTGTCCCCCCCCCCCCCACCCCAAGAATGCAAACTGATCTTATCGTGGCAAAGGCCTGTGTCATGAATAAAACTTAGCCAACTCTAGAGGGAAGCAAAACGGGGTTTCTAAAACCTTCAGGGCATTGTTTGGCATTGATTCATTGAGAGCAGCCAATGACACAAAGACGGGAGATGTGACACAGCTTGATTATTCCACAAGGGGTTACAAGAGAAAACAGTGGAACATTAAACTGTTTCTTCTCTTCATAAATATTTTTTTTGTCTGATCGACGGATATTGCAACAAAAACATGCTTAAACCATGCCAAGAAGAACATTTTCTTGTTCAAGAAATAGATGAGATTAATATTCCAAAATGATATCATCTTACTGGTCTCGAAGGATTCACACCGGATAACCTAGTTCTTATCTGGACTATGCCGCACTGTGGCACTTAAGGATATTATGAAGCCATTGAAAAGGAGTGGAAGAAACTGGAATCTTCAACTTCAAAAGCCATTAGATTTCCAATGTTAGGATTGTTCAAATCTTATAAAGATAGCAGTAATCCTACGTCCTACTTAAAATGGGTAGAGAGGATCCATTCACCAGAAGATCTATTATCCTAAGGTCCGTCATCGACAGACCAACATGAGATCACTTCTCCTTGGCATAGCCTCAAAAGAGGGCAAATAATTCAATCAATTCATTCCAAATAGCCATCTTTAACGTATACCTTCAACGCACTGTCTCCAAATCACCAAACTAATGATACCCCTTTAAACTTGCCTGATAGTTTCTAACTTTTAGAGAGTGTCTTCTAGTGCACCATTAAACCATTTGGGGAAAAAGTTAATGAAAGTTAAGTAGCAAAATCATTTATACAACATCAATTGCGTACACAAGAAACGGGCGGGCAACATCCAAAACTGACATTACACTGATATGAACCGCCCAAATCTAAGAAATTAAATTTCACTAAGAATTTCAAGAAGAATGACAAGTTTATCCAAGGAATTGACTGATACAGAAATCAGTGAATCCCAAATCAGTCTAAGCCACAAATACCATTACAGCACTATTCCTTGAATCAATCACAAAGCATCAAACTTGCCGATAAAAAACCCAAGAACTTTATCAATTCCCCGAGACCATTAAAATTAAATAACCGAATAATTAAAAATCAAAATCAAAATTCTTGCATGCATTAACGAATCAAGAGAGACAGAAACTGAGTACCAAGTAAACATAACATTCCGGGACTTGGAAGAGAATCAGCTCGATTGCTTCTTCTTCTGTGGAGTCTTCCTTTTCATCTGTTTTCTTTTCTTTCTCTTTCTCCATTTGGTTCGATTGTTGAACTGAAAAAAATGAGTTCTTCACCTGGGATGAAAGTATGGTACCAATTTGATTCAATCAAACTCGTTTCTTTTTCTTTTCTTTCTTTCAATTTGTTCGATTGTACTGGAATTCTATGAGATTAGTCTCTTTGACATGAAAGATGGGCTTGCTGGCAGTTTGGGAATTCTATTATACTATTTGTTTTTCTTCGATATTTTTAATTTTCTTTTCTTTGTTTTTTTTTTAAAAAAAACATATATCAAAATTCCTAGCAACCAGCAAGAAGTAATTTTTTTTTTATCTTCCCTTGTATGTATTAAAAAAAATTATTTTCGGCAAATTCAATTTGATTTCTACTCTTTTTCCGGTTTAAATTAGTGAATTAATAGGTTCTCTTAACAACAATTAGTCGACGAATTTGCTTTGGGTGATTCAAACAAAAATGTTATGAGTTTCTTCTCTTATATATGAATTGAAAGGTGATAATCTAAAATTTATAAGACTTGTCTAGTCTGTTGTATAAAAAAAAACAACAATTTTAATTGACGATTCACTATGATTTGTGTATTAAAGGACAATTGCTAAAAATAACGTCAAGGGATGGAGTAATGGGCGAGGTTTGGTATAGTGGTTTACTTAATTTTCAAGGGAAGAGATTTCTTTTGGAAGCTTAAGGACTCCATTTTGAAAAGGAAGGAAATAACCGTGCAAGATTGTTCATTTTTTTTTATATTAAAAAAAAAAGAAAAAAAAACAACCCCGACTTGAGAAGTTAGTAAGCTAATAATGATAAGAAAAAAGAAAGTTCATTTGAATTGTTTGTTTATTATTCCATAAGAAGTTCACAAGCCATTGGCAAACTCTCACCAACAGTATCAGGTTGAGTCATGGTAATTAACTCCCTCAGCAAATATTGTTGCAGGAGCTTCTTTTCATCGTTCTATTAGTACTTCCTCTGGTCTTTATTATAAGACATTTTAATTTCGCTTTATGTTTAACCTAGGATGTCCTTTTAATTAGAAAAAAAAATCTTAAAAACATATTTTGATATTCGTTGTGTTTTCCTAATTATTATGAAATATTTTAAGATTTTTATTTCAATTAAAAATACATTTTAAGTGAAACGTATAACAAAATAAAAATATCTTATAATAAAAACGGGAGAGAGAGTAGTTGGGATAAAAACTCAACATGGTTGTTTGTCCACGATATGACATCTTCGTAAGGCATATGCGAGCAAACATTATCTTTGCTTTCTCAAGGCATTCCAAGAAAAAGAACACTCATCAATTTTACCACCTTCCTTGGCTTGGTTTTTCTTTAGATTCCGCTGAAAATATTTCTTCAATTTGTATTGGTTTGGGTTCCATTCTTTAGAAGGAGGATTGTAGGCTTGTAGCCTCCTCCGCCTTCTTGGCATCGTTATCTCAATTCAAGTAAGCCAAAAAAAAAAAAAAAAGTTTAAAAGATTATTAATCATTGTTTTGTGATTCCTGTCCTAAATTATATTCAAATATTCAGACCATAAAAACTCCAACATGGATCCTACGATATAAGGAGGTAATGTCAGGTTCGTCTCCTCTCAGTCTACATGTTGTAACCAGATAACGATAAAGCTCACAAGGAAAAGGTGCCAGTGATAACTGGAAATATTCTTCGCCTATGACAATTTCAATTTACAAAAAGTAACCAACATTGGATGGGGAAAAATGGAACCCATCACAACTTGAAGTACTCTTGATCCAGGTGATGTAGTCTCACATATCCATCTTCACCTCCACTTGCAAAACTGCAAAAAGACCCAACACACACGAAGATTACATTTTAGAGTCCATTCGAGAAAAGGTCAAAAATCACACCAGATATCCAGAAATCCTGTCAAATTCCAAAAAGATAAAAAAAAAAACAATATTGAAACACCAATACAGGACCTAGGGTATTTCTGAGGCACACAACATCTTCATTGAAGAGTTGAAAAGGTTGAGCCATCGAGGATTAATAAGTATCACTAAAAGACTATAGATAGGGAGATATGCTTGAAATCTATTTGGATGTCTCACGAGAATGTAGGCCAAAACAAAATGCCTTGGTTTTAAGTTTAACTAAGTCAAAACAATAATGCCTACCCTGATACATATCACATTCATCTCCGAAACACCCCCCCCCCCCGGTTAAAAGACCTGAGAAGAAGAAACTGCTCCTACACAGAAGCTCCTTGTTTCATTATTCTACTCACAAAAGTAATCAGTCAAACCTCAGAATGAGAGGAACCCATTACCTTTTTCCATCTGGATTGAACGCCAAAGCATTGATTGGGCCAAAGTGCCCCTTAACGCCTCCGATTTCTTCTTCAAGAATCTGATGCAGCACAAAAAAACATGTTGAGATTACTCGTAGGGAGCCACCACAAGTCACACCCTATCTCTCATTCACTCCAAGAAAAAGAGAGAAAAAAAGAAAACCACAATATTTTTTACCTTGTCGTAGAATTTTGCCTCAAAATCCCCAGTCCCAGTGGTAGTAACTAATCGTGCATCCGGACCACCTCCAAGTACAATCTGCAAAAGAAAAACAGCGGGTAAAAGTCTGCCTAGTTGAACCAATCATATCCATAAAAGTAGAAGTACAATAGTCAGAAGTTTCCAAAATACATACATGATCATGGGTCGGGGACATTGTCACTGCATATACAAAAGATGCGGAGGTATACGTCTTCAGAAGCGTCAATGTCCTTGCATCCCATAACTAACACGTTATGCAATAATAAAAATGTTAGAACATGAACTCAGAAGACAAAGCTAAGAAATACTATAGACTACAGGAAATGCACCAAAGACATTGAAGCAATCAGGCAAAAGTATGAGTTGAAGAAACAAAATTTACCTTAGCAGATTTATCCAGGGAACCAGTGATGAAATGTGAACCATCACTGGATATTTCAAGTGATGAAATGCCTTTTTTGTGGCCGGTTTCTTTGTCCGACTCCTTTAGTAATTTCCCGGTCTATATAACAAAAACTTTTCAGATAGTTAAACAAATCATCCAGAACAAAATGCACGGACAGGCACCTGAATCTATCTATAAACTCTAAACATTTTTTTTAAAAAAACACTTAAAAAACCTTTCCAAACAGCACTTTTAAAGGGTAAAAATATCAAAATTGATTACATACCTCTGAATCCCATATACGAACAATAGAATCTTCACCAGCACTTATTATTGTCCTGTTCAAGGGACCCCAAACAGCCCTGTTAATTCTTCCCTGAGGGCCTTTTATTACTTGGATAGACTCAGTGGCCTCTGCAGAAACAAGTACATTGCACAAATTCGATCCAATGAAATTCACATAATATTAGCACAAAGGCTCAGTTACTGCTGTAATAAAAAATTCCTAGTCAGACTATATCTAAAACTCGCCTCCACAGGAAGTTAAGCAGTCAGATACAAACTGAAAGTATTATAAAAAGGACGAAATCCAACCTCTGTAACAAAGGAATTTCTAGGGAGACTCTAAATCTAAAACTAGCCTTGACAAGAAGTTAATATGTGAGCTACAAATTAAAAGTAAAAGAAAAAAGGCCAAAATCCAACTTACGATCACTAGGATCTTGGGCAATCCGTTTGACATGAATTGCAGATGGCAACTCCATAAATGGATCAATTGTTAATACAGCAAGCTTATCGCCAGTTGAAAAATCAACAGATTTAACAGCGCCTTTAAAGCGAAAGGTGAACAACGGCATCCCTGTTTGGACAGACCATAGCTTTGCGGACTGATCCGCACTTCCAGTCATTAGCAAAGATGAATCCCCTGAAAACCACACAAACTTAGTAATTCTAAGCAACGCAAGACAGTATTAACACAAGCTCATTCAAGTTTAAAATTCAACAACATTCTCTAAATGCAAAATTTAGACTACAATAGATACTTTCCTGGGTTCTAAAAACTATAGAGGACAAGTATGCATAGTCGTAAACTAATTAACAAAACCCAATTGCAGCAAAACGAAGTTCCATGCCAGTTGAAACCAAGTACATAACCAAAAAGCTAATCTCAAGAAGCCCACGACAAAATCAAGAGGACATCAATCGACCCAATAAAATCTTGAATTTCCACCAAGGCCCCAGCAATCAAACACTGAAACTCATAAACTTTCACCCTCATGAACTTTCACCCAGATTGCACCGCCCCCAATCCAAATCAGATAAACAAACAGAAAATTACACCCAAACAGTACAATGTTTCAGGGGCAAAAACTGGGAACAAGAACCGGGGGGTCTTACTTGAAACATCGCAGGACCAGACGGCACCGTTGTGGCCACGATAAGTGCCTAGCCTTTCCCCATTGTCGGCAAACCACACAGTGGGATTGTTATCCTTAGCACAGGAAAACAGAAGATCACCCTCTGTGTTGTACTTGAGGAATGTTAATGGCCTCTCATGGCCTTTCATCAGAATCGGCCTCATCTTCTCCTACATACATATATATTTGAATTGAAAAATTACATGGATGGAATGGAGGAATGAAGATTTTACAACCCTAACTTGAGAAGGAACAAACAAAAAAGGGGAGGGGAAAAAAATAATTTATATGTTTGGAGTTACCAATTTCTAGGAGAACTCCAAGCAAATAACCGTGCAAAAAGAACTTCTAAAACTCCTGCACAAGTGCAAGATCAAGATCATGAGGATCATAGACACCAAAAAAGCCCACCAAATCCATCAAAACCACATAAAATTCCAGTGATCAAAACCCAAATTGTTTTTTTAAAAAAAATAAAAATCGGTGTTTACACCAAGGCCAAAAATTAATTTAACAATCCAATCCAAAATTCCGCAATCCAACAGCGCATGGCATTAAAGAAGAGAGACCTCTGTGAGAAATAAGAAGGAAGACACTGAACGGAAAAATAAAAATAAAACATATAACTCGACGAAATCATGGGAGTAGTTTTATCAGCAAAGAAAAACTATGCATGAATTTTGGCACAACAAAAAAACTTTCCGGCAAACTCAAATTCCGAAATTCACACGCTTCGGAAAAAACTAATGAAACGGACGAACCCTAGCCGCCAAAGATTTCACAGATTCAACAGAAATTCATCAAGTCATTAGAGTAACAGCGATCGTAGAATCATACCGGGGCCAGGAAACTGGAAGCTTGGAACGCTGAGTTGCGAGGGAAACTGGCAGGGAGAAGCAGAAGTTGTTGGGCCAGGAACTTGCAAGTTCTTTCTTTTCTTCTTTTTTAACACATAGGAGTATATATCAGGGAAGGACTTAAAGTTGGATCCCTTTCACAACAGTCGGTGCTTTATGTATTAATTTAGCCCAATAAAGGATAGGGCCCATGGCCCAATATCATTTTGTGCTGAAGAAGGTTTTCTATTTGCGCTGTGTATTTTGATTTTCTTAATAATACCATAAATGTTTTGATTGATGATGATTTTTCTCTTCAAGAAGTACAGAATGACTTGAGTTTCTTGCGTAAGACAAAATGAATCAAACTCGTCTTCAATAATTTCTCTTTTTTTTTTCCTAATTTATCTATATTTGGACGATTTATTTCTCTTATAATAATGAAATTATTACTAGTAAAGCTTTCTATAGCTCACTGTTACTCCCACCCAAAGAATCGTTAGTGAAAAGTAGATGAGATGAATAACACTAGTGTTAGGGTGAAATAACTTAATAATAAATAAAATTTTAGCAAGAAATTAACTCGAGGGAACATAATAAAGTCCCTCTGGGCCTCAGTCCAGAATTAGTTCAAACTTCCCTGGAGTTCTGCTAAAACTTTATTGAGGCATTACACCTGCAAACTCTTGCATTCTCTTATTAGTACTCTCTGCAGAGAAAGTCAATTGGTGGGTATATATAATCCAGAGATTTTATATTTTTTGTTAATTGGTCCATCTGATCTCTTTTGTGTTAAAATTAATTCTCTTTTGGGTTACAAGTGATTTGTGTAGCCATAGGATTAGGGTCTTCAAGCCCGGATTCTGATGTTTATAGTGGTTACTTGTTTTTATGAACATGGCTGTAACTGCTACCCCAATTGATCCTTGGAATGGGAATTAAGTAGGCTGTAATTTGTTTACTTATGAGTTTTGGTAGCCCCAATGTAAATGTAGTTAATTAAATCATAGTGAGTCTAAAGAAATAATTTTATTCTAAAAACACACGTTCTAGGGTGTGTTTCTCTGGGGTAGTTATTGTTCTCCAACAACAGTTGTGCGAGTAGTTTCCTCTGTCTGCATAGTCAACATGGAGGAAACAATGGAAAGACTTGATTCAGGGTTGCCTCTTGTAGATGATGGTTCTAAGCGTGATTCGTTTGATTCTCTTGCGGATCCCTCTCAACCTTTGTGTGTGTCTGGCGGCGAAGGTCCTCCGATCAAAAACTATCTCTACAAAAGAAATTGAAGATTTGTATACTAGGCTGTGGAAACCCCGATCAGGAATCAAAGGATGAGGTTAGATTCCAGTTCTTCTCTCTTGCTGACATAAAAAGAGTTGGAACTTGGAATCCCTTGGCTTTTTTTGGCCCTTCAGATTTATTAGTCCTGGAAAGAATAGATGATGGTGTCTTTCAAATATTCTCCTTTACATCTCTTGTATGACCAATGCAGTGGCAGAATCTTGTGGATATAAAGTGGGATCTTTCATGGAAGTTGCGTCGGATGATGAAGGTGGTTTGGTGGGACGGTTTCTTCACATCCGAGTTAATCTGGATCTGGACAAACCTTTGTGTTCATCGTTGGAATTTTCTTATGGGAATGTTCTTCGATTATGTCAAATTATGTATGAAAAGATTACCTAATTTCTGCTACTGTTGTGGAAGAATTGGCCATTTGGAGGATATTTGTGATCTTAAACCCTCTTTCTTTGCAGGTTCTTCTGCATTTAGTCCATGGTTAAATGCTTATCCTCCTTTTAGCCCTTTCGCAACCATATACTCAAATCCTAGATCATCATCTTCTTCACGTCCGCCTTTACGTAACACTTCAAATCCTTCTAAAACTTATCTTCCTCCATTCCGATCATCAGAAGCTTATCATCCTCCTCCTCCGCAGTCAAATCATCGCCAATCTTCATCCAACCGTCAAAATAACCGCCCCACGCATCTTCTAAACCAATTTCAATCTTCCACCACCCAACTGAAAAAATTTCTGCCTCATCTAATAAAAAAGTATCATTTTCTGCTCGTACTACTGTGGTTTACTCTGATGAATCCGCAATCCATACATCACTCTCTCCATCTCCTTCTGAACCTCCCCATCCACAAATCTTCTCACATACATCCTCTGTTTATCCTCTCACAAAAAATGATACTTTATCTTCCTCCACTCATACAATCCCTGAAACAATCCATGAAACCTTCCCGCCAATTTCTAAAATCCGTGATCCAAACCCTGAACATCATGTAATTAATTCTTCTTCAATCCCTACTCCTACCATTCTTTCCACCTCTATTATATTTAAACCTTCATCTCCATTACCCGTTCCATCCATACTCCCATCTCTTCCAAATATAACTAATCTTGAACCTTCAAACCCTTTCCTAGTTACTGTTCCAGTTTCAATGGATACCCCAATAAAAGTTGCTACCAGAAAGGTCACTCTGGCAAAAAGAAGTCAACATGGTGTATTGAATGTTACTGAGTCTCCGTTATCTCGTGCTAAACGAAGACTCATGATTGAAGAAGTTGAAGAAATTGCTGTGGAGATCATAAGCAAAAAAGCCCGTTCTGATTGCTCCATTATGGAGGCTGATTCATTTTGGACATCTGAAGGTTCTGGTGATGAGGCTTCCTGTTCTGAGGAGGTGGAGATTGGCAATGTTGGCCAATCCCGCTAAGAAATATGAGTATAATCAGTTGGAATTGTCGAGGGCTTGGGAACCCTCGAACAATTCATGAATTGCAGGAGTTTATCCACACTAAGTCTCCCGATCTTCTGTTTTTTATGGAAACAAAGTGTTTCGTTCCAGCTGTAATGATTATTAAGAATCGTTTGAATATGGATGGTGTTGCTGTCGGAAGTAATGGACGATCAGGGGGGTTGGCTTTGCTCTGGAAGAAATCAGCGAAGGTGGTCTTGCGTAGTTTATGCACGCGATTCATTGATGTGGAGTTTGATCTGCAAGGTGTTTCTTTCAGATTTAATGGAATTTATGGAGAACCAGATTTGGCGCAAAGAAGATTGGCTTGGAAAAATCTGAAAAATCTTAACTCTTCTCCAGTGATTCCGTGGCTATGTATGGGAGATTTTAATGAGGTTCTAAGTCATGATGAAGCTCAAGGAAGGAAACGCAGATTTGATTGGCAATTTGAGGCTTTTCGTTCTTTCCTGGATCAATGTTCTCTGTCTGATTTGGGTTTTCAGGGCCATAAATTCACATGGAGTAGACTTTCTGCAGATCCTTATACCCAGAGAAGTAGACTTGATCGGGCTATCTGTAATGATGCTTGGAGATCACAATTTCATTCTCAAAGGGTGCATCATTCTCCTACCATTACTTCTGACTACATGTTATTTCATCTTTTTTTGAAAAGGAAAGTTCAGAATACTCAGGTTCGAAGACAAAAGTTATTTCGGTTTTAAACATTATGGATAAAATCACATGAATGTGAAACTATCATTCGTGATTCCTGGAACCGAAATGATGATGATTTGCCAGAAAAAAAAAATTTAAAGAATGTGCTGTTGGATTGATGTCATGGGGTGGTAAGCAAGTCAGGGATGTGCCGAAACGAATCAATTCACTGAAGCAGGAAATTGCTGGAATGGAACAAGGTATCATTACGGATGGTGTTAAAATTCAGATTCATAAGAGAAGGTAGGAGTTGGAAATCTTGCTGGATCAAGAGAATCTGAAATGGAAACAACGTGGAAAACAGCATTGGTATAAGGAGGGTGATTGAAGTGAGACTGTATTGAAGACGGCTCAAACTTGTGCCGTGAATTTGATTTTAGGGTTTGTTAAATACAAGGAGTGTGATCTCAATCAACTCCCACAATTACGGTACAAATCTCTATCTAAGGTAAGTATATATTTTACAGTAATGACTAAACTATTTACACAAAATATACACCGTAATACCCCCCCTCAAGTTGGAGCATGAAGATTTCGAATGCCCAACTTGCCAAAAAAATAATCGAACTGCGGTTTGCCCAAGGCTTTTGTGAAAATATCAGCAAGTTGAACATGTGTGGAAACATAGCTGGGGAGAATAGTACCCTTCCAAACTTCATCTCGAACGAAATGACAATCAACCTCAATGTGTTTGGTGCGTTCATTGAAAAACTGGATTGGCAGCAATATGTAAAGCAGCCTGACTATCGCAATAAAGACGAATAGGCTGAGGATGAGGAACACCAAGAAAATGTAATAAACCCTTTAACCACTTCACCTCACAAACAGTAGAGGCCATAGACCGATATTCCGCCTCAGCCGAAGAGCGAGAAACCGTCTGCTGTTTCTTTGTCTTCCACGAGATGGGCGAAGTGCCCAACTGAACAAACCAACCAGTGAGAGAACGACGAGTTAACGGACAGCTGGCCCAATCAGAATCACACCAACCAGATAATTGAAGATCCGAGTCAGCTCTTAAAAGGATACCCTGACCAGGGGTACCTTTGAGGAAGCGAACGACACGAAGAGCAGCCTCCCAATGAGCCTGCATAGGACGCTGCATAAACTGAGCAAGGGTGTGAACACAATAAGATAACTCAGGACGAGTAACAGCAAGATATATCAGGCGCCCCACCAAGCGCCGATACGACTCGGGATTCGAAAAAAGAGGCTCAGTAACCAAGGCGAGATTGTGATTCTGCTCCAACGGAAAGCCAGCAGGCTTGGCTCCTAGCAGACCTTGACAGAGAAAAATGCCCGAAGCATTACGAGCAACTTCAATACCAAGGAAATATTTAAGAACCCCAAGATCCTTCATGTGAAAACACCTGCTCAAGTAATCTTTAAAAGACTGTATAGCCAAACTATTATTCCCAGAAAGAATAAGGTCATCGACATAGACTAAAACAGTAAGCTGCGTAGTACCACGACGAAGCACAAACAGAGAGTAATCAGAAGCAGATTGCTGAAAGCCATACC